TTAGACCCGAGAAATTGCCATTGTTTTTGGTGGTTTTTAGGGTTTCCTTTGGCCAAAAACTAGGGGGGTGGTCAATCTCGGGAGTGAAACGCCGGGAAATCTTCTTAATGTCACCAAAGTTAATCTTATCAGCTTGGTTTTAAATGCTAAAAAAATAAAGGAAATCGGCTGACCCCAATCTTTTGGCACCGCCCGGTTTTCTCTGACAATGACTCTTAACTAACTAATTAAATTTAAAGTACTGTTTAAATAACGAGCAGGAGCGTATGACTCGAGCTTTTAAACCTGATAGTACACGACAGCAATTTGTTTTGAAAGGCTTCAAATTCTCTGATATGGATCAACTTATACTTGCTCACTAATATTTAGGTTTGGGATTATTTTGGTCTAAAAAATGGACATTAAGTTTAGTCTTGTCTTTATCAGAGTATAACTGGCCCTCATTAAACATTAATTTCTTTTGTTTTTTCTTTATGAATTAATATTATGAGTTTTTGAATCATATTTTTGGGATCAAATGCAGATCGGAGTTTTAAATGATTTCTGAACCTTAACGCATAAAAATCAATAGCTTCTTTTCTTCCGATTCAGGGGAATTAAGAGCAGACGCGAAGCCTAGAAACCGGAGAACAGTTTCGAACGTAACTTCAGCTACCATAACCATAAATGAAGTGCGAGAAGAAATCGGCAAACAGTTTGAACAACTTATGCCCACCAAGTACTGTAAGTCAAGTGAGAAGGTATGTCCTGCAGGTCCCCCCGGATATCCTGGTCCCACTGTTTCAAAGGCAAAAAGCTTTTGTCAGGTGCAAAGTATTTGATTAAGAAAGGAGAGTTAATTGTCAAAAACATAAATTACAGCGATGCTGGAAAGTACGCATGTGTCGCGACAAGTATTCTTGGATCGTCTGGGGCCAGTGGAAATTTGACCGTTAGAGGTAAGTAAAAATCTAACGCTATTTTCTAGCAAGAGCGCAATTCATTGTCGCAAGAAGCTGCTGTTGGTGCACCCTCGGATATCATTCATTATGGTCAGGGGCAGATTAATACCCTCCTGACTGTGGTCGTCACTATCTTAGTACAATAATTAAAGTAAGTCAGGGGAACAAACGAAAGCAGCACTCCAAATACGAAAAGAACAATTAAAGTTAGATGAAATAGGCAAATTGTGATCGTGCCTAAAACTTTTTCGATGATAGTGTTGAAACTTAATTGATTACACTGACTCAGCTCTGAATTTAGCCTGAGAAAACAGCTGACATTTCGCGACCGGTTTCCCCGCGAAATGACGTCTGAGAAACGAGACAGTGGAGAAATTCTAAACTGATGCCGGCTGTAACGGAGGGTTGAAATTATTACTGCAATCATCATTATCACCATCATCCTCATCATGTAGACATATTAAATTCTGCTAGCAGAATACTGCAAAGCTGATCGTACTACGTGAAAACTAACTCTGCAAGACATCAACACGACACCGAAAGAACTCAAAACAGAGCGGGATTGTAGCCATAGACAGCTGTTTCGCCCTCTTTGAGGCTCTGATGAAAAATATCCGCGCACTCTGATTTTAGCCCTGACCCAGAACTCTTAACACCCACAGAATGACGCCATACCACGTGCCTTCTGGGAGGCAAGAGTCCAAGTGTCAAGTTGATGTCTCGCAGAGAAAATAAGGAATTGGCCAAAACCAACCTAAAAACATGGACAAAACCATGCAAGAATTACAGCATATCGGATCTACGGCCCAAAAATACATACGATCAGCATTGCAGTATTCTACTTGCAGAATTTAATATGTCTACATTGTTATTTTTTGCTGATCAGGTCTTTACAGATCCTACGTTCTTCGGCATATTCGTTTGAGGTCCTTTGCAGTCCCTTGTGGTTAATGTTTGTACTTTATGAATTTTTGGGCCGTAGATCTTTTATAGATCCGGTAATTTCTATGGCTACAATCCCGCTCTGTTTTGAGTTCTTTCGGTGTCGTGTTGATGTCTTGCAGAGTTAATTTTCACGTAGCTATAGTACGATCAGCATTGCAGTATTCTACTTGCAGAATTTAATATGTCTACATTATCATTTTTTCTAATCAGGTCTTTACAGATCCTACGTTCTTCGGCATATTCGTTTGCGGTCCTTTGCAGTCCCTTGTGGTTAATGTTTGTACATCATTATCATCATCATCGCCGTCGTCGTCATCATCGTCATCATCATTGTTGTCTTCGTGAGCATGGTTATCATCATTCAGTGTATGATTTTCACTGATTTTCATTTTTTTTTTTCGTCTTTCAGGTCTTCCGATCTTTACTAGAGCACCCCCACTGCTGGTCACAAAAATAGAATTCACCTCGATTCAAGAAACCTGCAAGGCAGAAGGGTTTCCAGCTCCCAAGGTAACCTGGGTCAGAGTGATTATGTCTTTTCCAGCTAACAGAACTGAGGTGAAGGCGGGTAACCTCACTATCAGTAACCTACGTCGAGTAGACAGCGGTTTGTACCAATGCATAGCAACAAACAGCATGGGAACAAAAAAGGCCACGATGAACTTGATTGTACAGCAAGGAGGTTTGTACGCCTATTTTATCAGTAACCCGGAAAATCTTCCAACATTGATCAAAATACTCAAAGTATATTTAGTTAAAGATTCACACTACTTTGATTATAACAATTGAAAATTATCTTGAGAGAGTGCATCGAACGACTTCAGTTGTTGATCTTTTTTAAAAGTAGTAATGAAGCTTATTTAGGCCTAGTTCCATGAATTACAAATAAAGATTGTAACCTTTTCTATGCAGTTCTATATGAACGTTTCTACGGTTAAATTAAATTACGGTTAAATTATGTTTTTGCTATTCATAACTGTTTAATCAATAAATCCTTAACTAAACTGTTTTGCAATTCTAGATTTTGAGTTGTCGTATATAAATCACCCACTATCGTTCTTGCTGATTGTCCCCCGTTGATGAAACCGTCTGTTAGGTTATTGTATTTATTTTCATCATTTAGTAAGTAAATGAGGGTATTTACCCTGTTCTGTTCATCTGTATATGTCTTTATAACTGCCTTACGGTTTCTGGTTGTCGCGTTCTTGTTTCCAGCCTGCTATTACAGTCCATGCCTTAATGAAGGAACCTGTCATGAAGAAGGCGGAGGAAACTACAGCTGTGAATGTAGAAGTGGCTGGACTGGAAAACGATGTGAAGTTGTAATTGGTAGGTACTTCCATAAAATAATCTTTATGGTCGTTTTGCTTCCACAGCATCCACACAGTTCGCTTTATTTAATTATTGATTCCCACCGGCATCGTTGTCTGGCTACAGGCTATCGCTTAAAATTCAGTTGGATAAAAAAAAAGGGTGGACACGTTACAGAGTTCTTCTCCGTAAGCAGCCCAAACCCCTTTTAAAAATTCACTGGATGGTATGAAAATGGAAGTGATTCTCGCAGATGAATAAACAACCTAAACGGTGGAACCCGGGCCTGACCGGACGCAACGCTCGTTATAATCCAGTAAGCTAAATCATGCAAGCCAACTGGAGAGCAGGCCATTGTAGATTCTTCAGTAATATACCCGCCCGATGTAGGAATACATAACATACATACGTTACCTTTATTTATCCTCAGATTTACACTAGCGGAAATGTATGAAATGACTCATATTTTGAACTACGTCCGCTCATCGCAAAGGTCAGGGTTCGATCGATATTCCCAGTCAAGCCTTAATTTTTTCAGTTTCTTTTTCAACCACTTACAAAAGGCTGTTGTCCTGCCTAGATTAGCATTATAGCTATTTGCAGCACGTAAAGTATTGTAAACTAAATATTATTTTCTTTAATTAAACACATTGTTGTTGTAAGTTTGTTTATTCAACTGTGAGAATCATTTCCACTTTCATATTTTTATCCGGAGTTCACCATATGAGTCATTTCATATATTTCCATTCATGTTAACTGGATAGTACTGGCGAAATGCTACCCCGGGCAAGATTCCTTCTAAAAACGTCTAGTTTACGCTTAAAATTGATGGAAAGGAATGGCACTTGCAAATGACTTGTAAATAAGTTTCTCCTTAATTTGTGTAAACTGTATATTTTTACTGAAGTCTGCGAAAGAATAGAAAAGTGTATTTTTATAGAGATGTACGTTATACTTGTCAAAGATGATTTGGATTGTCTGATAAATCCGCTTTGCCTTTTCTGTAGCATGTAAAGCTGTAGAGGTAACGGACCCAAAAAAGATACCAGATGCCAGAATGACGGCAAGCACAGTTTACAGTTCGGGTTATCAACCGTACTACGGAAGGATCAATACAAAAAGGGGAAGCCGATGGTGTCCAACGAGCACTAGTGACAGGACAGACTATCTTCAAGTTGATATGGGCGCGGTGCATTCTGTTTGTGCAGTGGCCACGCAAACGTTAAACACTGGCGAGTATGCCAAAACGTATTACCTACGACTTTCAGTGAATGGATTAACCTGGAACACGTACGAGGAGAACAAGGCGAAAAAGGTAAACTATATGCGTATAACTTAATCACCTTTACTTAGCTTACGTGCAGCTAAACCCAGTCTCCCGCTGTTTCTGACTTTTCTGAGCGGGGCTGGGACGGGGGAGAGGGGGGAGGGGAGAGGGGGGGGGTTACGGTACACGGCGCGTGCAGGCCCCAAAGCTGGATAGCGCTCTTCAACGGATCTAGATCGCTATCAAGTGGGTAACTGTATTTAGGGAAACCAATTGTGTTGTCCAGTGGCTAAATGTCTGTTTATCCGGTAGATAGCGTTATCCACCTTTTGAACGATTGAGATCTGATTTTATTTGCTGCTGTTTGAGGCCACACATGCAAAATAAGTAGTTGTATGGACTCATATTGACTTTGAATTTATTTAAATCGAAGGTGACTTCATGAACAATCAAGGATGTGATGCACTCAGTTTAAAAAGAAAGCATGAAAGCAGCGATTTGAAAATAACTAAGAACTCGCCAAACTGGTTAAAACATCTTTAAAATAGTACCTGACGCTATCTTTAAGACTTAAGCTGTGTCCGACAAATCAGTCAAAATGCAAACACTGGGAACTGCCACGAAATTGAGTGAAACATCAAAATGAACCGCTCACAATGGTAAAAGGAAGTATAAATAGCAAAGTAAATAAAAGAGAAGGCAGAGAGCACACAGATGGACAAACATGCAGAAGATTGAAGAGGAAGCAATTATGGTGTTTGAAAACTTGTTAGCCTTGGCACTGGTATTTCAAAAAATTAATTTTTGTTGTTTGCAACGATTGAGATAGTCCTTGGGAGATATATTTGTTTTACAAGAAGCAGTGATTTTGTCATTCAAAAATTGTTTCTCAAATTTCATAGCGAATTATGTCGCGTAATTTGCGTGTTTATAAACAAAGTGAACTAGCCAGCCGTGACACAACCTCCCCTCATTTCCTTTATGAGATAAACAGTGCCGGATCCAGACCTTGTGATGGGGGGGGGGGACGTCATCCAGACCCTTATAAAAGGGGGGGGGGTGGTCTTCAAAAAATCTTTTTTCGGCCCTTCGGGCCTCGGTTTGAGTAAAAATATTGGAGGGGGGGTGGTGCCCCCGGCCCCTCCCCCCTGACCCTCTGCTGATAACACCTTATTAATGCTCGTCACTTGGCTGGCGTCGGACTGTGGGCATCTGCCGTGAGGCGGGCGTGGGGAGGAGGGAGGGGCGGGGGGGGGTCGGGTGGTGAGGCGGCTGGTGGGGGGGGGGGGGGATGGGGTTGGGTTTTCAAAAATTCTTTTTGCGGCCCTGCGGGCCTGAGTTTGGGAAAAAATGGGGGGGGGGGGGGGGGCTCCCCGATCCCCTCCCCTGGATCCGCCACTGATAAATACTTATGGGCTATGACATCATCAACTAATTAATTCCACTACAAACAAACGGGGTAAAGCATCCCTAGTATACTGCTAAGGGCTATTTGTTTTTCACTTGCAGGTTTTCCAAGCAAGTACCGTTGTGAAGAGTGTGGTAAGACAGAAACTTAGTCAAGTGGTGAAAGCAAGATTCGTCAGATTTTTTCCTATAACATATCATGGATGGCCTTGTTTAACTGTTGAAATTTATGTCCTCACACCTGGATATTGAAAAATTCGGTTAAGAACCAGTTTTTATTTTTTGTAGGGTCGTCGCACGGGTTTTCTTTTTCCTTTATTAAAACCGTCAAAATCATTTGGCCCTTTCCGTCGGGATGCTTTCACAATTTCGGTAAAGCATATAACTGTTTGATTGATAGTAGTATTCATTTTAACTTACAGCTGGGCGGACCTCCGTTTTAAGAACTCTTCACGGGGACAAATCCCAATCGCCGACACTTTTTTCCTCCTTCATTTATGAGTAAATAGGTTTTTTTCCAAAGAGGCACTAATAGTCCAATTATCTGAGTTTCCCTCTGGAGGTTTGAATACACCAAGGCCCGGCTAGCTCTTTTAGTATTTTGAATACTCGCGCTCGATTTTTACGTACTCGAGAAAGCCTCTTCATAAATAGAGTAAGATCTTTGTTGAGCATGTGCGGCTCTCTGCTAGGCTTTCGTCGATTGCGCTAGCATAATGTTTAGCATAATTTGGTGGAACGAGCATAATTCTTAGCGTTTTTTAAAGAAAAGCACTGCTAGTAGTTATGAAAAATTGTCGTAATTTTGTACTGAATATACTTCTACTTACTGAATGGTGTTTCTAGAAAGTTTCTTGAGGTAAGACGACTTGTTATAAGTTGCAAGTTTATCTCTGCATAGACGCTGCGCGCTCGTCATGGAGTTGTTAGTGTACCAATAACTCATATAATATTAACGTCTACTCCCTTACCTCAGAACCAAACGAGCGAATGATTTTATTACTTTTAAATGTTTAGATTAGTTTTATTACATTTTATATTATATTATATAGTATCATTGTTGTTAATTTTATCACTTGGCAATTCAGTCTTTACTACAAAGAGTGGAATAAACGATGTTTGTTTGTTTTTTTGTTTGGTTGTTATCATGTTTTTTGGTTTCAGGCCCCAGTCGTACGACTCAGTAGCGAGCTGCCTGGGATCTAAGATCAAAGATGGCGTCCTCCTCATCAAACACTTGTGTTTACCCGGTGTTCAGCCTTTATTTCGCTTAAAACCAAGCGGCATAATTTAAATACGAGAAGCATAATTCAGAGAAAAGAGCACAATTCAGGAATAATTTCCATAAACTTTGAGCAATGCCAGGAGCATAATATGCTCGTTTTTCGAGCACAATTGAGAAAAGCCTACTCGCTGCTGGGATATGGTTTCGAACCCAAGCTTAATAACCTTGCACATGTCACTGCGGGTTCAGTTATGATCATCGGATTATCAATAAAAGAAATGCTCGCACTGGGAAAAGAAGTGTGCGAATACAAAACAAGATGAACATGAAGATTGAAGTTCGGGCTTGGGAAACCTCATAGGCTTGACGTGACTCAGACAAAGCTTCCTTTTCTCCTCCCCACTTAAGAAGACAAAATAAGGCTCAGGTCGCAGCAAAAAATAAAATAAACGGACAACCAAAAAACAAAGAAACAAACAAAACACGGAAGAGATAATTGTGATGGTTATATTGCTGAACATAAAATATTTCCAATCAATGTTTATTGATGGTCGTAATGAACAATCAGACAGTCGGTATAGACTCTAATAATGATTTTATGAACACTTTAATAAGATCTCCAAACGTGATTGATAGAATTAGTTATTAGTTTAGGTTCCTAAGTAACACGTTTAAGGCCATACTTTGCTCGAAAATATGCGTTTTCTTTAATTTGTTTACAGTGAAACCTCGCCTTACGGCCACCTTCTTATTACGCCGCCACTTTTTTTAGCCGCCTGGCAAAAAATCGCCATACATTTTCTTGTTAAAAAAAAAAAAAAAAAAACGCTCGTTAATAATACGGCCGAATTTTTTGGGCCCATTGGTGATCGTATTAACGGGGTTCCAATAAAAATATGCTGATGTAATTTAACTAGTATTGTAAACGCTGTCAGCCTCTTATTTGACAGGTCTTATCGTCCATTTTAAGTCTAAAAATGCCGGATCTGTTTCAGTTTAAAACCTATTGAATTTTAATTCCCAGCTATGAATGTACATTAATTGCAGTCGAGTCCTTGGGAAAAGGAGACAGTCGTTCTGGCAGACAGATTGAACATAATAAAAGGTACATCTTTTAGAAAAAGGTTTATCCCTAAAAGTAAAACACGAATGTAAAAAATCGGACATCGAATCTCTTATTTACTTCAACCTAGTATTTCACAATGCTAAGGCTATCAATAGCTTTAAAGACGTGGGCAGGACTTGTAATTTAAAATGAAATTTGAATGAAATTATAAATTTTAATTTCCCGAAGATATGTAGAACTGCAGGTGATTCAGTGAAAAGTTTATTTGTACTTTGTAAACGCGTTGCTGTGACAGAACGTCTTTTGGCAAACATGTCAAATGTTACGTCGCAAAACGTGTTAGAGACTCGCACCCTAGCGGAACTTCTTTCAAGTCGACAAAACGCTACCGTGGTTGTCGAAGCGTTACTTAGTGTGATTTTGAATATAGCAGCCTTGTCTTTGAACTGCGTCCTGTGCTGGGCGGCTTACAAGAACCATCGTCTTCGACGAATGACAAGTGTTTATGTCCTCGCACTCGCTCTTACC